CGGCCGCGGCGGGGCGGGGCCGGGGGGGGGGGCCCCCCCCGCGGGTCCCGGGGGTGGCGGGGGCCCGCAGCCAGGCCCGGGTGGGCCGGCGCAGGGCCCCTCCAAAGCTATCTTTTTTAACAATGACCTGTTCCCAGTAGAAAATCCATTTATGCAGAAGTTTCTATACATTGATTTAGACTGTGAGACGTTCTTGAGTGTGGCAGGATGGTGACATGGCATTGAGCCAGTCAGGCATAGCCGTTTGCTGTTCTCCCCACAATGACTGCCTCTCCCGGGACCCTACTTCTTCCCAGATGACTCCTTCACCGTCTCTTCTCAGATCTGTCTTTCTTTCCAACCTCTAGCATATAAGCATTCCTTCATAGTCCATAGTTATTATTCCCTGGAATTCTAGCACCCGTGGAAATCCTAATTTTAGAGCTAGAAGGGAGCTTAACGATGAATTAACTCAATTTCCTGATTCTACAAACGGCAAATGCTTCCCCAAGGCCACAAGCCTAGTTAACCGTGATCAGGATCAGAGTCTCATTTGCTCATCCCAATTTAGCTCAGGTTCATTTGTCACTAAAATATACACACAAGCAAACATTTAACGTTGTTGTTCCTCATCCCATGTAACACCCCATTTTTTCTTAGTTTTTCAGTATCTTCTGTCTCTATATTCTTATAGTTGATTCTCTTTCTGGTTTTTGTGTGCTTGTTTTGTTTTTTTAGGTTTTTGCCATAGGGTAGGGTATGTATGCTCACCAGAGAAAGGGAGAAAGGTGGTGAGAGGGAAAGTGAGAAATCACTGCTCAGGGCATATGGCCACACGGCAATCTCTTTCTCCTCTGTTTTCTTCTTGAGATTTTGGGCATGCACGCACATGTACCCACGGTGAGTTTTAAACTGCAGGTCTGGGACTTAAACCATGGTCAGCCATGTGGGAGTCCAGAGCCTTAACCACCACACCAACTGCAGGTCACTTCTTGTAGCTGATTCTCTTTAGCAAACTTCAGTCAGCGGGCCAGTCAGATTCTTATTTTGTCATATTTTACAGCTTACTTGTTAAGGCTAAAGTTTGTAGGAGCATTTTTTTTTTATCAAAAATAATTCTATTTTATACTGTTGTTTAATGGTCAAGATTTACAAGCTCTGGTAATATCATTAATAGGAAAAGATCTGAAAAGTTGACCATTTTTTCTCTCCCATGATTATGAGAAAGAACTGGGGAAGGACCATGGGAACAGGAAAAGAGCATTTCCAGTGAGTGGCCATTCCAACCTGGCCATCAGAGAGCCCAGGATAATTATGGCCATGAGATTCTGGGTGCCCAGGAGTTTGACTTTCAACAAATGGCCAAAAGCTTAGTTACAGATGTATCTTAAAGATTCTAGAACAAAACCAAAACCAAACCAAACCAAAACAAAAAACTCTGAAGACCTGGGAAGTCTTATCAGTACCTGTAACCACTGGTAAAGAGGGAGTCGTATTGGATGGCTATCAGCATGAGGTTCATCTTCACGAAGCAGATCCTGAGAAGGAAGGCAAGGAGCTGAGAGGAAGGGGCAGAAGGCAGGGATTTGGTATACACACATGTCACTAACATTCTGCTCTATGTCAGGAGAAAGCCAGCATGTGGCAGGGGAAGGAACTCGCAAATATGGAATTTCCACTTGTGTGTATCTACCTGACATAACTGATAGCCAGGTTACCAACTGGGACAGAAGTGAAAGGAGATCCACATGGACGGGGGACTTCTAGATGGCAGAGGCTCCTGCGCTATTTGCTCTCAAACCCTCAGTGTCTGGGAGGGAGCCATACCTTCCACGAAGCCCTATTGGCCATTGCTGCAAGGATCTTATCGCATGAAACATGAGGGGATATTTCCCTTCACTCACCGGGAGACTTCAGGAAAACACATCCCAGCAAAATCATTAGAGAGACGCTGAGTCAGAATCTTGTTCTTCAGGCCGTTCAGGAAATATTTTTGCCATGGCTGTTTGGGAAAGACCTGGAATACACAATTGGCCGTGGAGTGTGTTGACATGGAGTCAGAGATGCCATGAATCAAACTGAGCATTGTGCTACGTGGCAAGCCAGTCTCTAGCACATTTAGGTCACAGGAAGGAGATCTACCCTAGTGTGTGACTGGAGACATGTTAAAAGAACTGGAACTCTGACATCATCATCATCGTCATGTTCACTGAAAGGCTTCAGATGAGGTCTAGCACATTTAGGTCACAGGAAGGAGATCTACCCTAGTGTGTGACTGGAGACATGTTAAAAGAACTGGAAAGGCTCCAGATGAGGTAGACACAAGACAGTTTAATTTCTCCCCAGATGGCACCTCAGTCTCCTTGTTGGAAATGAGAATTCTTCCTCCTTCCCACTGCTACTTTCGGTGAAGCCAAATGTTTTATTTTTTTGTCATTGTTGTTTGTTTGTTTGTTTTTGAGTCAGTAGCAACATGATGGGAGGAGGCATGCAGATTCTACGTTTTCTCTCTGTCTGGATATGACTGCTTAAGACTGGTTTGGAAACATCTTAGACTTAGCTCACTAACCATATACCATACAGAAAAACATTCATGGCTTCCATCCAGGACCAGAAACTTTATAGGTTCAAACCAACTCAGAGAGCCATCTTGATCTATGGAAATGTGAATGCAAAAATCAAGGACAGCTAGAGGTTTCTAGAGAACCGGGAGACATAGAAGAAAAGCAGTATCTCTTGGAAAGGCTGGACACAGCCCAAGGTGGTGGCTGTTAGGAAACTCATCCCTGGTTTTTGTGTACAGCCCACTCTCCTGCCACCTACTGCTGTGAGAATCACCACCGCAGTGCCCTAACACAGCAGGACACACTCCTGAAAGCCCTGCCACTCAGATAAAATCTAGAATTCCTGTTAACTCTGGAGCACCGTCACTGTGCAGTAGTGCAGCCTGTTCAGACATGCTGTTCATCTTGCAGTTTGGGAAAAACACAAGAAAAACAAATATACAAAGAAATACACAATTCTCCCCTACTGGAATGGGCCATGCATGTCAGATAACCCAGTCCTCACAGCCCCTCACCTCCAGTATCCAGCTGAGTCTCTTCACTTCTCCCATTCTCATACATTTCTCCCCTAACGAGGGCTCCCTGCCCTGGCTGTTCATAGCTACCACACATGGAAGTGCCCTTGAGGAAAGTAGTGTCCTGCTTCTAATCTAAATAGTTCCTAAAAGGTCAGAGAGGAGATCAGAAAAAAATGAGTAAGTGAGTTAGATCATATCTGGTCTAAGTTCAAGTTTAAGGCAGGGTTCTTAACACAGAACCAGACGAAATGCTCTTCATACTTCCATTTCTCAAAATATAACCATGGAGTTAGAATACACACATTGGTTCAAGGCCTTTTAATCCGAATACTCAGAAATTAGGCCAATATTAATTCAATGCTTGGGGAAAAAAATCAGGTGAGGAGATTAATAACTCTTATTTTTAAAACTTTTAAGAGGTTTAAAAAAAAAAACTTTTAAGAGGTTTGTGCCTTAGGGTGCATCTGTTTGTCAGAGAAAGAGAGATTGAGACAATGAGAGCAAAAGTGAGAAATCAGCCCTGGCAGGGATGGTCATGCCACAATCTCTTCTCCTCTGTTCTCTTCCTGGGATCTTGGACATGCACACCACACACACATCTGGCATGAGTTTCAAGTCACCAGGTCTCGGACTCAAACCATGGTCAACCATGTGGGAATCCAGTGATGTAACCACTATGTCATCTGCTGGCCTCAGTAACTCTTAAAGATGGAGAAAGTGCCTGCTTTAAGAAAATGTGACATAAAACTCTGGATTCTTGGCCGCTGAACCAAAATCAATGGCAGACTTTGGTGTGTTACAACATCTAAAGCACCAGAGCAGAGCATTCAAAACTCTTGCCCAATTTTTGATAAATGAGTTTAAGATTTTATTCAAAAAGCAATTATGGCTATCACAAATATCTCTCAGTTCCTGCATTCCAACTGTGATCTGTGATGAAAATTGTCAGGTGTTCATCCTCAGTTTGGAGACTACAACTCTAGGTTACAAAGGAGAATGTAACAGAGCTGGCTTTACATTTGACCATCTATATTTGCATAAGGGGACAACGTCTTCACACAGAGTTCTCATTCCATGTGTTTCCTCTAGCCATGGAGATTAAGATCACAGTCATCACAACAGATACTGAAGTTCTTCCCCCCCTCTAAGACACAACACAAGTAGAGACTATTTCCTCCTTAAGTGTTTCCTTGGCCATTCGCGGTGACTATGAGGTGAAGGTACAGCATTGGCCTTGAGGCACCACCATGCAACCATCTCTTCTCATCTCTGTAGTCACACATCTCTTTTCAGGTGCAACAGGAGTTACACAACAGCTCAGTCTGTCCCAGTAGCATCTTGCTGGCCAGAGCATCTTTCACTTCTTTTGCTTTATCTTATTAGTGCCAAGGAAGGAACAAGAGCATATGCAAACATGTGTATTGAAATAGAGGAACTGAAGTTCAAGGAGAGGTCAAGAAGGAAGTCTAGTGTAGGAACAGGCAAATGTAAACTCAGAGTTAAATGAAGAGGAAGATCCTTCTGTGTCGGGGCTTGGGGCAAGGAGCACCAGTCCCAGCCAACGAATAGAAAACATTTCCATGAGTGGGACCAGCAGGTGGCATAGTGGTTAAGGTGCTGGACACTGCCACATGACCGACCACAGTTTGAGTCTTGGACCTAGTGGCTTGCTTTCTCATTTTCCTTTTCTTTTTCTGTGTCTCTCTCTGGTCAAATTAAAATAAATGAATGAATAAGTAAAATTGAATAAAGATTTAAAAATAAAAGAAAGAAAACATTTCCATGAAGATGGTATTTGGAAGACCATACTTTGTGTTATTGAACACTGCCACATGACCGACCACAGTTCGAGTCTTGGACCTAGTGGCTTGCTTTCTCATTTTCCTTTTCTTTTTCTGTGTCTCTCTCTGGTCAAATTAAAATAAATGAATGAATAAGTAAAATTGAATAAAGATTTAAAAATAAAAGAAAGAAAACATTTCCATGAAGATGGTATTTGGAAGACCATACTTTGTGTTATTGAAGTTCATCCTAATGCTCCCTCTTAGTTCCTTGTTTTGTCTCAGAAAAAGGTATCAAAGGACCTGATGCAGGGGTTGTGGATAGCTACCCAACAACAGAGGCATAGGGCACAGTGGTAAGTCTGTTGACCAAGAGGATTCTAGCTCTTCTGCTCACTGACTCACTATAACTGAGTTAGTTAGCTTCCCTGACCCATTGCAGGGCTGGATCCTGGAAACAGCACGAAAGGAGAACACTCCACATAGCAGACACCCAATGTGTGGTTATCACCATTATCGCCCCATGCAGACTCAGGTTTTCATTACTATTTCTGTTTAGTTAGTACTTTTTTTTTTACAATAAATGTTAATTATTTTATATTTAATTTTAAACATGTGACTTTATTGATACTATAATTTTTACTTGTATTTCTACTTTGGGTAAACTAAAGCGTTTCCACATGTATGACAATGTTTACATTCAGGCTGGACTGTGGATGGTAAGCGGGAAGCTGAGTTACAATTTCTACTTTATAAACACTTACAGGCAACAATAAGAGCTATGACTTCTATGGGGACGAAAGCTTCAATCCTCATCTCTCAGTCCCTTCCCAGGCAAGTATAAGCCAAAGGCAACCATTTCTTGGGGCTTTCTTGCTTTCCTCATTTTTTTTCCCCCTATTCCTGATGCTATTATGTGGGACATAGGAAGCAGCCAAAACCTGACATCAACTTACCTTTCTGTTTTGCTCAACAAATAGAGACGTTAGAAAGGTGCACAAGCCTGGCACCAGGCAGCCTTGGGCGATAAATCCAAGCTTTAATTCAGCAAAGCAGATGATGTTGTCTCCAGCACTCCAGTCCCAGCTGGGAATCTTTGGCAGATAAACCTGTTTCATGGTAGAAAGTAGATCAAGTGTTAGGAGTAAATATACCTCAAGAAGGCTCTTTAATTGACTTTAAATCATTCATTCTTTACTCTGCAGCATAAAAAGTGGGCCCAGGTAAGAGGAAGTGATAAGAACAATTTCAACGTCTGAAAGTGGTTACTGGTCAACAGTTCCCACTTTGTTGTTGTTGTTTTTGTTTTTTGTTTTTTTTTTTTTTTTTGAAGGTTTTGCTATAGGGCACATGCACTCACCAGAGAAACAGAGAGAGACAGTGAGGGGGAAAGTGAGAAATCACCCTTCAGTGAAGATGACCATATTGTAATTCCTTCTCCTCCATTCTTATGTCGGGATCTTGGGCACATAAGCACACACACCTGGCATGATTTTTTAAGTTGCCAGGGCTAAGATTCAAACCACTGTTGGCCATGAATTTCCCTTGTTACTGCTCCTGGCTCAGTAGCTCAGAAGTATAATTCAGGCAGAGAGAGGTATGCTAGAAGGAAGCTTCCCTTTATCAAGAAGGGGAAAAGGTATAGGGAAAGGTGTTTGATAATTCTCAGCTTGACATAGCAGCTTCTTCAGCTCTGAAGGAACCAAATGTTTCAGAGCTCTGTGTAAATACTTGCTGAGCTGTCAATATGTACCCAGGAGGGTTCTGTAGTGAGATGTAAACGGCTCTATAGAATGTTTGACAGGCAAATTAATAAACAGTTTTCAAGCAAAGATAATGCTAGTCTCCTCGCATGGTGGAATAAAAGAACATTGGCGAAAAAGACTTGCTGGTAGGGAGAATGGTAGTGCTGGGGCCAGGGCAAGTGGGGCTCTATTAAAAATCAACTCCAATTTCGTGATGAAAATTAATTTGGGAAGAAGGTTCTAAATTTCAATAGTTAGGTAAGGGTGCTCCAGAATCTTGGTTTATGAAGCTTTGAGTTTTGAAGACTTGTTTCTTCAGGAAGGCTTTGCAGTTCGTCAAGATTTTTGGGGGATTGGGTTTGCATTTTTGGAATACCAGAAAGGAGAAGAAGGGTACTGGGACTTCACATCATTATCAGCCTGTGTTTTGCTATGGCTCTCAGAATTATAAAGCCACTACCCAAGGACTGGGTTTATTTAGGTAGCCTTTATTGGGCATCTTCTGTGTGTCACTTACATATTTCAAAGTTTATTTCTTTTGTGAGCAAAAAAGGAGAGAGAGACAGAGATAGGCATCCCCAGCAGGGTCTCCACACTGTGATCCACCCAGACTCAGCCGGTCTAGACTGGGCACACACACAGCGTACTCCAGTCTCAGCCGGTCTAGACTGGGCACACACACAGCGTACTCCAGTCTCAGCCGGTCTAGACTGGGCACACACACAGCGTACTCCGGTCTCAGGCTGTGAAACCCTTTCCAGTGTGGGTCTAGATGTGTCACCACTGCATAACCATCTGACCCCTTGACCTTTACTTTTAAAATTGCCATTTTAAGAACATTTCTGGTATCTTTGAGCAAAGCAGTCTTTTTTCTTTTTAATAATTTTTAAACTTTATTTATTCTAATTTGACCAGAGAGGGACAAGAGTGGTGGTGGGGGACAGCGAGAAAGCAAGCCACCATGTCCAGGATTTGAACCACGGTTGGCCATGTGAGAGTCCAGAATCCTAAACCACCATGCCACCCGCTGGCCCCCAAAACAGTCTTTTTATGGAGAAGGGAGAATCTGGATATTTTGCTTGTAGTGCTCTGCTTTGGTAACTTTGCGAGATGACCACATTTACCCCTCCCCACAGTTTCTTTTTAAACTAAATCCACTGTCTCTGGCACCACTTTTCTTCAAAATAAGTGTTTTTTAGACTAGAGTTCTGGAAGTTTTGACTTCAGTGCTTACATAGTAACAGGAAATATGAATGTAATTTTGGCCCTGGCTATATATATATTTTTTTCTTTTTTCTTTTTTTTTCTTTTTAATTTGCTATAGGGTGTATGTGCTCACCGGAGACAGAGGAGAGGGAAAGTAAAAAGTTACTCCCTGGGGGTTTGGCCACTCCATTCCCCTCTCGGAATTTTGGGCACACATACCCGCACTTGGCATGTTTTTCAAGATGCTGGGTCCAGAACTTAAACCATTAAGTCAGCCATATGGAATCCAGCCATCTTAACCACTGTGCCACCTGGCTGGCTCGCCTTGATTGTAATTTTCAGGTTCAGTTCATTTAACCAAAGGCTATCAGCTTGTTTTAAAACAAATATAGGGACTGGCAGGTAGTGTGGTGGTTAAGGCGCTGGACTTTCACATGGCTGACCGCTGTTCAAGTCCTGGACCTGGTGGCTTGCTCTCTCACTTTTCTCTTTCACTGTTCAACTTTTTTTTTTTTTTGAAGGTTTTGCTATAGGGCACATGCACTCACCAGAGAAACAGAGAGAGACAGTGAGGGGGAAAGTGAGAAATCACCCTTCAGTGAAGATGACCATATTGTAATTCCTTCTCCTCCATTCTTATGTCGGGATCTTGGGCACATAAGCACACACACCTGGCATGATTTTTTAAGTTGCCAGGGCTAAGATTCAAACCACTGTTGGCCATGTGGGAGCCCAGTGCCTTAACCACCATGCCACCTGCTGGCCTCAACAATTACGACTTTTGAAAATAAAAGTAGCTAGAGTTGCAAAATCAAGTCAAAAGCCTCAGAGGTCTAACTCTGGCCCCGATTTTCATTCTTAAGTGTTTGACAATCTTACTGAGACTTCCAATTTCACCTACAATTGGCAAAATCTTTTCATTAGATAGTAATATGTTTCATCAGGCTCCACGGGCCGGAAGAGGAGAAGCTTGAGTACGCTTGAACATCACAGTACCTTGTTATGGGATAGGAGTATCTGTATGATGACTCTGGCCCTGGGGTAGTAGTTTTTGATAGAGAGTGCCCTATAGAAATGACAAGTGTGTTCGTCAGCAATGTGTCATAGTCAAATGGTTTCGTAATGTAATTCAATTCAGAGCTAACTCGATATATGAATACATATGAGAAAACTTAAAGTGTATTATGAAGTTAAGCTGTTTTCTAAAATCGGTTCATTTACTAGCATACACAGAAGAGCACCATTGTTTTAGAGATGGGAAGCAGACTTATGGAAAGGTCAGTGCTTGGTGTCAGAAGACTGTAGTCCCCTGGTACCAATTTTTGAAGAGGAAATAAACAGTTTCATATGATTTAATCTTCAAACCACACGTTAATTATGGGGAAAAAAACCAGAGTTATAATTGCTGAATATAGCTTAAAGTAGCTCAGAGACTGTCCAATTCAATTTTTTCCTTTTTACAAATTAAACAGTAAGATGTATTGCATGCATACTGTAATATGTGCGGCACAAGTTTTCAGCTGTGTTTTGCTATATAGAGAGTCACCTCTAGCTGTGTACATTTGTTTTGCGTTGGGGACCAGAAGTTCTGGGCTGGGCAGTGTCACTGCCATCACAGTGATAGTTAAATTACTCTGCTGACACAAACCTCTCCTTCCGTCTGGTCCTATGCATTGGGCATTATTTTCAGAAAGGCAGAACAAAGTTAGCATTGGAGCACATAAAACACAACAACTGCTCCTTACCTCATGATGTTTGCAGTGTCTTCAGCATGTGAGTCACTGCATAGAGGGTTGGCAATAATCAGGCACGCTTCTGCAGAGTCCACCTGCTCTTCAGGATGAAACAGCAGCCATCTTGTTAATTACCTGGGAAATAATCTACTTTCCCCTTTTGGGTTTTCTTATGGTTTTGTCATAAAATTGCCAATAAGAAAGAAAACACACCAGGGTCATAGTCCTGCAGATGCTGCAAGGGCTGCTTGTGCCGCCGTTGACGGACCTGGACTGAGGCTCTCTCAAACGGATGTTGTAATTGCTTGGAAATGGGTGAAGCACCAAGTGCTGTTTCCCTATTATCTGTTACATTGCATGTTTAGTGACAATTAGCAAGGCCTTTTCAAGCCACTGCTTGTGTATTTATTTGCCTTTCAGGGTATCAAAGAATTAAGGAATTTGGAGTCTACTTGGCCCAATATAAGAAGTCATTAAATATTTGTGGATTTTGAATCTTAAGAGTCTAGAAAATTATTGAAATAGTTCTGACAGTACCAAGTTGGAGGAAAGGGAAAGACTATGCTGGGTCTGTCATTTTTCTGCTGGAATTGTTCATGTTAACTCTTCACATCTCTGCCTTAAACTGAAAGCTTTTGGTTTATTGACTCTATGAAAGTTAGAACATAACAGGAAGCTGGATTTGATTGCAAACCAAACCTGTCCAGAGGATGACTGTTGCTCATTATTTTTGGCTACACCATTCATGACATTTCTGCTACTTTCCTTTCTGTTTCTCATATCAGAAGACATAGGAGAGTTATCTCCAGCTGTCGACTTTTTGGAAATGTGTCTTTTGGTAAGAATCCTGTCAGGGTGGTAGGATCAAATACATCTACGCTATCTATAACTTTTCCAGATCTCTTAGACTGATAAAGTAAAATTGCTCTAGATAGAGAGTAGACTGAAACAAATAATTTAAAATAAGTGTAGATAAATAGGCCTGTCTGGCAGTGAGGTCTACCCGAAGTTTGTCAAGAAGGATTTGGAGGTTATAACTTTCTTTACCGTCAGTTTTTTAAACATTTATGAAGTCATATTTATAGCCAATAAAAGAATATGGAATACTGCCTTTTGAAAGAGCAATGTTCCCTATCATCCTGATTGTTGCAGCTAGGTGAACTACCAAGAGAAAAAGAACCAGATCTTACCGCAGCCCGCTTCAGATCCTCCCACTTCAGTGCAGATCCCGAAACAAATGTTGTATAGGCCAAGTAGCATTTAAACAAGGTTTCTAGTTCCAAGGAAGGAGGCATTCTGGACAAAAGAGTGTAGTGGTAAAGATGGGGAAGGTGGCTGATTCCATTTGGGAGGCTGGTAAACTATGTAATTCAGTGCATTTAATGGAGCCCCTAAACTCTACTTGGAAAACATCCATCCTTCATTATTAATCCATGTGGTTAGGTGTTGTTGATACCACAAGCCTGATTCCAAGGATAAACTCAGGCTTACCCAGAAACAGTGAAATAAAAAAAAAATACAAATCAGAAGTTAATGCTGTATGAAAAAAAGAAATTACTAAGAACAATGAAATACAGTACATAATAAAAATTAAATTACTCAAAAGATAGCATTCACAAATCTATCATAAAATAGCTTCTAATATATGAATAGAAACTGATAAAACTAGAGGGAGAAAATGATGAATCTGCTTCCCAAGTGACCTATTTTAAGACACCTCTTGTAATTATTGATAGATCAAGCAGGCAAAAAAATACACACAATTTAATATTTATAAATTCCATGAACAATACTTAGAGAATCTAATTTTTTTCAAGAATCCAAAGTGATAATTTACTTTATCAATAAGTAAAGGCTCAACACATTATAAAAATACTTACATATATGTTATGATCTCTGGCCACACTTTAGTTAAATTAGAAATTAAAACCCAAAAGATAAGTAAAATATTCTTCAAATTTAGAATAAAACATACTGCTAAAATATTTTGGCTAAAATAAAATTATTACAATTCTCTATAGTTAGTCTTAGAAATGAGATATGTTATAAACATTAAATACATATGCCTTTGGCTACAACGAAGGGACAATGTATAACTTTGAGCACTAAGATTAAAATCAAAGAAATAATAAGAGAAGGCAGAATAGAAAATAGATAAAAGATAAGAGAGAAAATCAATGAAGTCAAATGATATTTATTGAATAGTTGAAAAATAATCTAGCATAATATGCAAACTGGAAAAATTGATGGAGAAAAAAGAGAAAACAAAGTTACTACATATTGAATGAAGATTACATTTAGGCAAAACAAGGATAAAAATAATGTTAAATGTAGACAACAAATAATGAAATTCCAACAGTTTTTAAAATTTAGGCAAAATAGATAATTTGTTAAAAATGTATTATACCAGGGAACCAGCAGTTAGTGTAGTGGCTATGTTGCTGGACTCCCACGTAGTCGACCACGGTTCGCGTCCTGGACCCTGTGGCTTAAAACTCACACCAGGCACATGTGTGTACATGCCCAAGATCCCGAGAGGAGAATGGAGGAGAAGGGATTGCGGCGTGACCATCCCCCCTGGGGGGTGATTTCTCGCTTTCTCTATGTCTCTCT